TCCAACTGTGGGCCAAGATGTGAGCTCTCATGTCCCTGCTGCCATGCCTTTGTTCTTTGTTTCTTGTTCTTTGTCTTGCCATGCCACCTTCATGGACTCTAATCCTCTGAAACTGTAAACCCCAAATAAAACGCTTTCTTTTAACACTAAGTTGCCTTAGTGTCATGGTATCTTATCACAGCATTTTAAAATTAACTAAGGCATATATACACCATACATGCACATAATGTGTATATATAATGTATATATACATATACATAATATATGTATATATGTATATATATATATATAGTGTGTGTGTGTGTGTGTGTGTGTGTGTGTGTGTGTGTGTTTGTGTGTGTATGATCAAGGATTTGATACAGATCTTAAAAATAGAAACCACGCCGGGTGGTGGTGGCACACGCCTTTAATCCCAGCACTCGGGAGGCAGAGGCCGGCAGATCTCTGTGAGTTCAAGGCCAGCCTGGGCTACCAAGTAAGTTCCAGGAAAGGCGCAAAGCTACACAGAGAAACCCTGTCTCGAAAAACCAAAAAAAAAAAAAAAATAGAAACCAGATATGGAGAACTGAATATTTGAATAGACTGGGTTAAATTTACTGCACATGCACTCAGTAAGATCATTATGCCTGCATGGTAGGACATTTCTAGGCTTAAATTGTATGTACTCTTTGCCCTTAAGTGAAATAGAGATCTCACCAGAGTAAATTACTTGCTGGCCTTGTTGTTAGATAAGAATGCCTGGGCTAATAAAACTTAACAGAGTCTGTAGGCTCTTGTTCTAATCTGTACAGTCCAGCCCTTTTCAGAATCTCCTCCTCATCAATAGAGAGGATGAATTATTCCTTCTTTCTCATTTGATAGAGGAGGTATTCTTTTGTCCTATGGGAGATCTTGAAGCCTGTATCTACATACTGAATGTCTCAAGCAACAGAGAAATGTCAAAATTACTCTGTATTCAATATTTCCTGAGCTGACATGTGGTGGTACAGTGGACAGTACCAAGCCTACCACTTGGCTGGTGTGGGGCCTGTGTGCTGTTTCAGTTGACTATACTCTGGCCCTCAAATCTCCTTCGCTTACAGAAGCTATTCCCAAGATGGTCAATACCCATCTACACTGACTATGTACAAGACCCTAGGGGAGTTCCAAACAAATTTAAGGATATAAAGCAAATAGATACAGAATTCAAATTCACTATATCCTGGTAGACAACAATAGACAAGAATGCAGAATAATCAACAAGCATTTATCAATTATGGCAGGAATGCCCTTAAACAAGTGTCACCCAGCAAGACACTATCAGCCAAATGGCTTGGGAGAACAGGATTGCACTTGCAAACAGAAAAGGGGGATATTTGCATTGTGCTTGGTAGAAGATACTGCACTATGGCAGCTCCTGGTGAGACAATCAAAAAAGGGTGCCCAGGGACTATGCTAGCCAATGAGCAGTCTGAACACTTGGGAATAAATGCTTGGTTTTCTAATCTTATGGAATAATGGTTTGGCAATTAGAATTGGGTAATGACTACAGTCCTGATCTCCCTCATTACAGTCCTAGAGTGAGGATTACAGTTGGATGTTGTGTGATCCCATGGTGAAACAGAAATAATGGGCACAATTCCTCCATCTTATCACAGTATTGTAGATGAATAACACAGAACTGGAAAATCAGATAGTGTTAATTGAACTTGAAGAATGAAATGTATTGTAAAAGAGGGGCAGCTGTGAGAAATATAAACAAAATGTACTGTGTTTTCTACCAAAATGTTAAATAAAACAAAACTCCATTAAAAAATATGGAGATGCCTCTTGACAGAAAGTCAAATTCCTGCAGGGTCAGTACTTCTTGAACTCAGAATACGTGCTTGTTTCATTTCTCCGTAGAAAGTGACTGTTCCATATTAGCCAATTGTGTGAGAGTATGACACCAAGTTCCATCCATTCAGAATGAAGTCAATTGTGTAAGAGCATGATGTCAAGCTCTGACCATTCAGAATGAAGCCAATTGTTTGAGAGTGTGACACCAGGCTCCATCCATTCAGAATGAGGTCAACTGTGTGAGAGTGTGACACCAAGTTCCATCCATTCAGAATGAAGTCAATTGCATAAGAGTGTGATATCAAGCTCTGACCACTCAGAATGAGACCAACTGTGTAAGAGTGTGACACCAGGCTCCATCCATTCAGAATGAGGTCAGTTGTGTGTGAGTGTGATGCCAAGCTCTATCCATTCAGAATGAGGTCAATTGTATAAGAGTGTGATGTCAAGCTCTGACCATTCAGAATGAGGCCAATTTTGTGAGAGTGTGATACCAAGCTCTATTCATTCAGAATGAGGCATGAGAACTCTTTGCATTAGGAATAAAGCCCAGTGAGACTCCTGTTTGGTGTACTTGCTTTTTCACTCCATTAAGCATGGCTCCTGCAGAAGTCAAAGTTTAGATCCTGCAGAAATACATCAGATTGTGTGGTCATTGTCTTGAGACCCCAAATTCCATTCCTTTCATCCTCACAAGGGGTTTGCTTTTAAACAGCAGTCCAAAGTAAAAGGGGTATATAGGTAAGCAGTCCTGCCCAAGATGTGATCCTTCCTGTCACTGACCCACATCAGTCAGTCTTGTCTCCAGTCTCTCTAGTGAAGTGATCTGGCAAGTTGTCAGAATTGTGACATTTCCTTCTAGGAAATGAGTTCCTCACTCTGGCTGACATAGTCTTCAGCTTTTTCCTTCTCCCAGTGATATTCCTGGGAAATTACAATGTCTGAGAGTCCACTGAGTCAGAATCTGACAGGTGGTGGGAGGGCATAAGGATCTCTTTAGGGTATCTCCATTCTAGTGTTTTTCTTTTATAGATTGTGATGGTAAGCTGATGAGCAGTTAGGCACTCATCTTCCACACAGTAAGTCCTGTTTCAGTTAATGAGGGTCTGTAATCATGTAACATGTCTTCAAACAAACTCTAATTGACTTATAACAGGAATTACTAGGAATATGGATGTAGTATTAGATAAACCCAGGGGGGACAACTTTCTCCATTTCCTTCTTTGTGCCAGGCCTGAGACTATCTCAGTTAAGGAGGTTTTTCTTTATAACTCGAGATAGAGGATCTTTATTCAAGGTACAAAAGATGATGAAATTGGAATGGAAAGATTATTGATATGCTCTGCATAGTTAGGTGTTGGAAAAAGAAGCCCAGAGACAACAGCAAAGAACAAGGAAAAGTGTGGATGTGGGGTCAGGGGATGCTCAACCAGGGATGTATTTGTCACACCAGCATGAGGATCTACCTGAGATCAAGTCCCTGTGTTTTTAAAAAGCCAGGTATGGTGGCATGCACTTGCAATCCCAGTACTGAGGAGATGCAGACAACTGAATCTCTGGGATCACTGGCCAACCAGCCTTCTTAATCTGAAAACCTCAGACCAATGAGAGACCTTATCTTTAAAAAGAAAGTTATACAGCACCAGTTGAACAACTACCAAGGTGCCTTTATCTATAAGCCAACATAAGCAGATGTACACCCCTCCATACACACACCACATGCAAATGTGAAAAAAGTGAAATAATTCCTTGTGGGGGACCAGCCCTCACATTTATTTACCCCAGGGACTCTTGAGGAATGAGGAATAAGAGACTTCGTCAGAAATAAAGAGGGGAGACAAACAGAAAACACAGGACAGCCTTGGGTGGGCCTGGATCCTTATCCACCAGCCCAGAGCTTTATTCCAAAGGGCTATTTATAACAATGCCAAAGGGAGGGGCAAAGAACCTCCCCCTAGCTAGGTATAGCCAAGTGTAGACCCTTACAAATAGCTGATACTCAGGCCCATGGTTGAATCAACCTCTTATGCGGTCCTGCTGGGTACAGCCATTAGGAAACCTAGTGGGCTCCAACAGGTCCCTCTTCTTTATATTTTAAAAGAAAAAACTCTTGATGCAACTGCATCAAACTTAAAGACTCCCTTAGCTTCATCATTATCATTAACAGCTTAACATAATTCTAACATAAATATTGCTATACATAGTTAAAATTCTCTCAATCTTACATCTTAAAGCAAACTCTTAATAGAACCATTTGAATTTCTTGCTAACAAAACATAGGATAAACTTCTATGTATTCACATCAAACTTACATACTTCATTAACTTCACCAAACTATGGTACATCAATATCAATAGGTTAGCATAATAACTCTAATATAAACATTATTATTCACAATTATAAATACTACAAACCTACATTCAACCTACAAACTTATATTCAAAAACAATTTCTTAATAGAACTATATAAAACGTAACATTAATTCACTCAAGTAACACAAAATATATTTTAAATTAAAGGGACTGAGGAATATTAACACTCCCCCTTTTCTTTATAATTTTTTAAATTAAATCTTGAGCCTAGTTAGAAAAAAATCCCTAATTTTCTATTTAAACAGTTCCATTTTTACATAAACAGTTCCTTAAGCAGTTCATAAGTCATCAATGTTGATAGAGGCTATAAGCACAAGTAAATTCAAACTGTCCCACTGTAATGAAATCATTATTGTCCATTTCATTTCTTAAGTTCAGAAGTTCAAAAAGAGTTCTGGTACCATTCCTAAAAGTTCCTCTGAGCACTCAAAATCAGGGCCTGGCTTGTCAGCTGCCCTTAAGTCTGTGTACAGCAAAAAGCTCCAAATATGAGGAGTTCCATAACTAAAACTTCTTCTTTTTTTTTTTTTAGTTCAAGCAAGTGTCTCTGAAACTTTTGCTTTCAGCTACCACTGTGCTTTGCAGTCTGTAGCCTTCTGTAACCAGGCCACTTCTGGACCAGGCAAGAGCTTCACCTCATAGCCACACAGACTCAAGGCTCCTTCAGCTGCCATGAGCTGAATCATGGCCCTCCCACAGCAACCACAGCTTTGCTGATAGTCCAAGTGCTCAGCAAACCAGGTTCCAGATCCATTCAGCAGTTTCTGCAGATCCCTGGTCTGGCTATTAAGCCTGGATCACACTCTCACCTCCAAACATTCTCAGGCTCCTGCATGTCTCAGCTGCTTGTCCAGCACTGACACCACTCTGCTCTTGGCCTCCAGAAGCAACCTGGTCTCTGATGTCTTTGTTGCTCATCATTGCTCGCTATTCACCTTTCCAGAGGCAAGTCACTGGGATCTCCAAACTGATGTCTGCCATTTGCCTTTCTCAAAGCATAGCATCTCAGCTGGGCTTTCCAAGCTGCTGCCTGCTGTTAGCCTTTCTCGTAGCTTAGTATGTCCACCTCTCACTGTGGCTTCCTTTTGATAGAAAGCTTGTAGACACTCATGCATCTGCCACCTGCACTGCTTTGATGCCTTGAGGGTCTCAGCTTCCAAGACCTTCTGGCTGCTGCTGCTTGCATTGGCTCTTGGCATCTGCTGCTTGAGAAGTTATAACACTCCATGGGTCTCAGCTGCACATGTTCTGCTGTTATTTTCTGAAGTTAGAAGTCTCTGAACCTGCTTCTTGTTGTTATTGGTGGCTTTTGAAAATGCCAAGTTTGCAGTCTGCTATGGACATTGTTTTCTGTATCCCAGGTTCCTACTCTACTCTAAATTACTGTTTTATTAAACCTTCACCATATAATCCTTCTATTAGATCTTCACCATGTCCCTAGATCTAAAGCCTATATATTCTAAACCTACATTTCTCTGACTTACTTTACTTACACTTCTTATTTAAACTTACATTTACAACTAGCATGGCCATTTACTACACATATTTACATTATTCTTAAAGAAACTCTATAGGACCACCTTAGCAAATATACTTCTTATATTCATACAAGCTTATTGCTGGGGATGTCTTTCTGTATGCTGTGAATGTGTTGTTCTGATTGATTGATAAATAAAATGCTGATTGGCCAGTAGCCAGGCAGGAAGTATCGTATAGGCGGGATAAAGAGAGAGGAGAATTCTGGGAGTGGAAGACTGAATCAGAAGATGCTGCCAGCCACCACTGCCATGAGAAGTAAGATGTAAAGATACTAGTAAGCCATGAACCACATGGCAAGGAATAGATTATAGAAATGGGTTAATTTAAGATATAAGAACTAGATAGCAAGAAGCCTGCCACAGCCATACAGTTTATAAGTAATATAAGTCTGTGTGTTTACTTGGGTCTGAGTGGCTGCAGGAGCTGGATGGACACAGGAAAACTCCAGATACAGCTTATATTCTTAAAGAAATTCTATAGGACTACCTTTGTTGTGACCACCTCGACCAGCAAGGAAGACACAACACCGAGCTCTTCTTTCTGCCATTTATTCAGGAACCTTGAACAATCTTCTGACCCCAGGGAAAGCCAGCCCACGCCCTTTATATCCACTAGGCAACCAACCCCGTAGTGCCACGTGGACAATGCCGATAGGGTCAGACATACGCAAGCAAACCAGATTCTACACCCAAGCCAAATAAGGAGTTGTTTATCCCAGAGAACACCCGCCATTGGGAAGGCGGAAGCTGGATGCCGGTGCCATCTTTGAGGCGCGGCCGTGCATGGCTCTCTACAGTTCCCCCTTTTTTGTTTTAAGCAGCAGGTAAGAGCAGAGGTCTAATCTCTGCCAAAATACAACTTGGACATTGTACTAGTGTTAGTCCAGGTGTCATCCACCCAGAGAACACTTGACCCGTCCGATACCCTTTTTTGCAGAGGTGGGAATTAGGGTATCAACCCACATGCAATTAGACTTGCTCTTCTTGGGTTTTGCAATACAGCTAGACCCAAGTGCAGTGCACTAGCCTCGCATCCTGCGCGATCAAGCTTTTAATGCGGCCAGCCAGGTCTGGGGAGACTGTCCAGCCTCTATGGCTGTAAAGGTTTGGATAATCATGGCTGCATTGCACTGCTGAGAAACCCTTAAACGAACAATGCACCACAGGCACATCAGGGAGACAAGTACCAGTAGGCCTGCCAGGGAACCTAATCCCGCCCACTCCTTTAAAAAGGTGATAGAATTTCGCAGCTAAGACATCATTTCCACAGCGGAGGCCAGGTGCACATGGGTGGAGTTGACTGCAATGATCTCATTGCACAGGATCTGGGTCAGGTTATCAAACTCCGCCGACCAGGTTCCTGTCAACTAGTCCTCAAAGCTTTAGAATAGTTAGCAGCCCTACTAAAATTTTCATATTGAACAGCTGTCAGGCAAATGCCACTCATGGGTACCACGCAAGCTGTGGTAACCACTTGTTGTAGAATATCCATCTGCTCCTGCAGCAAGTCAACTCGTTGGTTGACCAAAATTATGCCCCGATGTAAGTGGCCATTAATGGCTGCTTGAGTGCTAAGAGCCTGAGCTGTAGCCCCCGACAGGTCATTCAATGCCTTGGCGGTGGGGACAGCAGTAGCAAGAGAGGCAGCAGCCACACCCGCAGCAGTGGCAGATAGGGCAATGGCTGTCACAATGGCTGCGGTAATGCCAAAATCCCTTTTTCGTCTACTTAATAAAATAGGCAAAGTATCTTCCCTGACTTGTACTGGCATAGGTAAAAAGGTCAGAATCCACAATATCACCACAGAATCATGCTGTGGATATCCATTTTGTTGATTGGCAAATTGGCCTTGTCCCAGTAGCATGTCTACATCCCAAGCTGCTTGACCTCCACCTGCAGCCCTGTTAATTGCAGCTTGCTCACAGCAAATTCTATCAAAAATGCCTTCCAGTCTACATACTGCCCTGCACTGAGACATGCTCGAGCAAGATTCATCCATTCGGATGGAGTCATGCAAAATCTGTGCAGAGCCTCCACTTGAGCAACAGTATATGAGGCTGTGATGCCATAAGTCTGGACAGATTCCGCTAGAGACTTGATGACCTTAAAATCCAAAGGTTCATGGTATCTCTGTTGAGTCTGGGCATTGAGAAACACTGGGCAAGCTAGCTGCATTTCAGTTCTAACCTGTCTCCAAACCTCCGGGTTAAAAGAATTCCCCATAGAGACAACTCTAGACATGGAGGCAGATTCCAGATATGGTGGAGGAGCTGAGGGAGCGGCTCCACACTCACATCCTTTAATTCTTTCTCTTTCTCCTTTATTTCTACCCCTTTTCTTTCTTATTCTCACGCTCTGCAAGGTTTCACATAATGACTCTACATCATCAGAATCAGGGGAAGAGATAGGGGACTCGGAACGCTCTAGGTCCAAAAGGTCAGGATATAACCTTGTTTTTTCTTCCCCCTTTTTTGTTTTACTTCTGGTAGACGCTGCTTTAGCAGACATGGCCTTTTCTGATCTTTCCTCCTGCAACATTTCTAAGGCTGCCTGCCCATTCTCTACCGTATCGCTGCAGCGCTGGTCTTCGAGACACCCTCTCACTAATTTCCAAACTGGTCTAACCCCATGTTTAAGCGTCCCTTGTTCTGCAGCGAAGTCTAGATCACAGCCCAACTTTTCCCAGGAAGCTACTGTGAGGCTTCCAGAAACTGCGAACCAGGGTGCCACGACATCACATTCCTCTAGAAATCTTTCTAAAGTACTCTTCTTAATCTTTAATTTCTTTGAAAGGAGCAGCTCGTTAAGAGCCAGAAAAATTGGGTGCAAAGAAGTTGCACCCATGATACTAGCAGCACTTTTGCCTTCACTTGCTTTCACTTTCTTTAATTTTCCCATCCACTTTTGTCGCGGCTCTACGTTTTCCCGCTCTCTCTTTATCTACAGATGAGAGCAAAATCCGCTTTTATCGCGGTTCCCCAAATTACCTGAGGACTTACGGTATACCACCCTGACAGCAAAAAGTTCTGAGCTCCACGAAGAGGCTGAGGTTCCCCGTACGGGCCACCACTTGTTGCGACCGCCTTGACCAGCAAGGAAGACACAACACTGAGCTCTTCTTTCTGCCGTTTATTCAGGAACCTTGAACAATCTTCTGACCCCAGGGAAAGCCAGCCCACGCCCTTTATAGCCACTGGGCAACCAACCCCGTAGTGCCACGTGGACAATGCTGATAGGGTCAGACATACACAAGCAAGCCAGATTCTACACCCAAGCCAAATAAGGAGTTGTCTATCCCAGAGAACACCCGCCATCGGGAAGGTGGAAGCCGGACACCGGCGCCATCTTTGAGGCGCGGCCGTGCGTGGCTCTCTACATACCTTAGCAAATATACTTCTTATATTCATAAAGAAACTCTATAGATCTGTTTTACAAATGTATATTCCAAAGGACTACTTTATAAACCTTACCTAAGTCTTACTTAAGCCTACACAATAAACTTACATTCTATAGGTCTACTTTATAAACTTTAACATCTAGACGAGATCTTTTAACTATTATCACTTCCCATATAACAGAACTAACTTAACACTAAAGCAGACATCTGTAAGATATTTCTTATCACCTAGAAAATAGTTTTTAACTAAACTATTAACAAGACCAGAAGTATGCAAATCATTTCTAAAGTTCAGAGTTTATAGTAAAGTTCAGAGTTTATAGTCAGCTTTGATATTGTTCTGAAAGTTCTTCAGAGTTTGAAACAAGACTCTCATTTGTCAATGGCTCATTCAATGCTGGGATTTTACTGAGTTCTGTTGCTAAGGAGTTATAACACTTGTTGCTAGGGGACTGTAACACTCTCAGGACAATGCCATTCCCCAAAGTCACCTTTCCTGCCATTCCAGAACTGGCAGAGATGCACTCAACAGTAAACAGTTTCTAACTAGAGGCTGTCCCATTACCCAAATTCATTACAGCTTCCCTAAGGGCTTCAATTCAGACAAATGCCATTGACTTCACTCAGAAGCCTCACCTCAGGGGAAGGATGAAATTCCTGTATTGAACTGCCATAAAGCTCTTAGCAAAAACTTCTTGCACAGCTATTAGGCAATATAAGGCACTGTTTCAAACCTGCATTGATACTACATTTCCTGGGTTGTCTTTTAGGTATGCTAGCAACCTTCTGGTTCCCTTTACAGGGTTTTGCTTTTGCAACAGGAGATTTTTCTTCTCTAAGCTTGCTTTAGGATGCCTGTGCCACCACTTAACAGGTGTACCTCTCCATTTAGATCTTTCACCTGACTCAGTGGTTTGTGTCTGTTTGTCTGTGTGCTCTCAGACTGTGGCTTATGGCCCCTTCAGGGCTTCCATCTGGGTCAGTGA